TGACGTGGACTTTGTTTTCGATTGTTGTTTCTTTTTCCTAGTTTCGTACTTAAATTGTACTCGTCACTACGAACACGAGAGTGCGTGTTAGACTCAAATCGGATCTGTAACGAAAAAGTTACGCTTCGTTAAAGTACGATAACCATGGGTACACACATGCGTACAAATTATCAGTGTTTGAAACACTGTAAGAAATCAGATTTCCTATCCCTAAAAAGTGGATTTGTGTTTCCCAATCAACAACAAATTAATTTTTCTTTCCACCAATCACTCCCCTCCATTCCTTTTTCCCGGTTTCTCTCTTCACCACCCAATTAGATTTTTCCTTCTCTTACATAACCAATCAGTGAGTTGCACACTCACACCAGTCACCAATCAATTTTCAAAATTCACTCTCTATCTCCTTGAAGGACTCCCTCTTCACTTGCATTATGCAACATTCTCAAACACACACCAAACCTTACCATCGAGACCTAAAAACCACACCAATTGACTCTTCTTGAACCCTCAATCACAATCGTACCATTGGATCACGAGTTGACTGAGTTTTAGACGTCGAACTCGGAAGGTCCGAACTCAGTGAGTTTGAGTTCAATGAGTTTCAGATTAAGTCAAGGAGTTTTGAAGGTTGGGGAAGCTTTCTTACAACTCCCTGAGGCTCCTAGGACAAGTTTAAGGAAGCTTTGACATGAAACAACCCGCTTTCGAGAAGTCCCCATTTTGGCCATACCTTTCGAGGCTTTTTCAGGCCACCTCTGTCTACCTTTTGGACTTTTGAAAGGTATAAATGATTCTACTCTTCATAAGCTTCATTTCCATATAAATTTTGTGAAAAATGGTTGAGAAATGAAGAAGATATGAAGGTTTGAATTTTTCCCTAGTTTTGGATGACTTTTTCCAGAATCCAGCGAGTTTGGACGGTGGTGACCTGCAAGGACCACCTGAGAAAACAAGGGAATATTCCGTCAACTTTGACAAAATATTCCAATGGCATCAGATAACGTCGTTAACGTCTGTTAGCATTTTAACAGAATATTCTTAACGTCCGTCAGCCTTTGCCTATGTGTGGTGGCGCGTAAGGCCATGCCTTAGGCAGCACGTCCGGCTTCCGATTGACCTTCTGTCAATTTGTGTAGGTTGGTGACGTCAAGGAGATCAATTTCATATATTTAAACCTTAGGTTTGAGCAAACTATGAGAGTTTTATTTAAGTTTCAGTATATGTGTTATTAATTAATTTTAAATAGTTATTTCACATATAGGGGAAATGTATCCCAAAGACGTACGGGGTCAGTCAAAGCTCGGAGGCTACGACCCAACAACGTATTTTTGAGTGGGCAATATGTTTCTATATCTATACATAGTTATAGTTTCCATAAATGCGTGCTAGCATAGATGGGTTTATACTTGATTATCACATGTTTATATTACTGCAACATTTGATATATCATGTCTTGGCATATTTCTGGTTATTGCTGTTATGCTTTGTTTACATACTTACGTAGTATGTTTTAAGGAAACTAAACTTGTTTTACGGCGAGGGGTTACTATCTTTGAAAGTAAAGGTTTTTACAAAAACGTTGTTTTGCTGACCCACTCAATTTTGTTTTTCGCCCCTCCAGGACCTAGATAGTTGTACTCTTTGTGGCACTTGAGGAATCTTCAGCAGTTTTGACATTAGCTCTGTTTAAGAGTATGAACTTATCCACTGTTGTGTAATAAGTGTACTTTAACTAGTTGACTACTCTTCTGTAGTCGTACTATCTATTATGCTCTGAATAATTGTAGTGGGTTCTTCCCACGACTGCGCACTCTTTCACTGTTTAGTTAAATTAGTTATAGTTTGGTTTTAATTTAGTCATTTTTTCACATTACTTACTTTATGGTTACGTCACCTTCCAGTGATGGCCAACACGCTTCGACCTTCGGCGGTTGAGGTGTGTCAACGGCAGCTCGGAAGGCCACGCGCCGTCACGTGTGGAGGTTTTTGGCGAATGGAAACCCAATTTTCTAATTAACTCTAAAATTTACCAAATTTTACGCGCAAGTAGAGCTCAATGAGATGAACAACTTTCATGCTTGAGCCGAATCCAATTCGGTCGAGAAATACCTGAAATCTGACACGGTTCATCGGAAAACCCTAGAATAGGTGATCGTCAAATCGACATCACCTGAACACCGATGCCTCGAACCGTGAGTGAGTCTTGTTCCTGAGTTCGAGGAGAGACGAGTGAAGGTGGTAGTGAGCATCATGAAAAGCCAAAACGATGAGAGTACCGCCGTGAGTGCCGGAGAAGACGAAGTTCGTTTGTCATGAAATCCCGACCAAAAGCCGTCAAGTTTGGGTGGGAATGGAAGCTGGGACGACGCCGAGTTAATTGGTGGTTGTGGTTCCCTGTGATTCACTAGATAAACACCGTGAAAGGCGTCGGAAAACATTGGTGGTGGTGCTTTTCTTCTTTCTCCCTTCCCTCATTTCTTTCTTTTCTCATTGGTTCACTGTTTTTCCCCCTCTTTCCCGATTGGTCCGCACCCCTTCATTTTTCTCATTTCCCCTTTCTCTCCTTCTTCCATCTTTCTCCTTTCCCTCATTTCTCCTCTTATCCTTCCATCATGGCCACGTGGCACCATCTTACTGCTTCAACAAATCTGGAGCCTTCTAGATGATGGTCAAATGACTATTTCACTCCTAACTTTGCTCGCCTATAACTTCTTCATTATAACTCCAAATTACATTCCGTTTGCGCTCATCATGAGTTCGTAATGATGAGTACTACAAGGATACGCCAAGGAAATGAGTCTTACATGACACAACACAACGATAAACAAAAGTCAACATTTTTTGCTTTGAATGGCATTTTCGTAATTTCATGATTTAAAATTATAAAAAAAAACCATAAAATTTGGGAACGGGTTGTTACATATAATGTCATCAAATTCTAGACGAGGTGCATCCAGACATCAGTTTGGTAAAGGTAAAGATTTGCCTAATCCTATTGGTACATAATCATATGAGAAAATAATAATTTGAACATGTTAATTAGCTAAGAATTAGTTTACATTGGAGAGCATATATGATTTTGGAATGTGTTGGTGTAGCTAGGGACAATTATATCTGTGAATATATGTTGGGTTGGAAGGTCTACTCATAAAGAAGAACAAATATAAGGGTAGAGTGAAACTGAAAAGCAGTCAAGCTCAAAATGTGATTTGCTAAAGATCAAGATTGACCCTTTGTTTTAAAATTTTCATACTTCTCATTCTTATGTACCCTTATGTATTGGTAACATGTATTCGACTTTAGAACTTTATCCAAAATCATTTGGTGGGTGTTTGGAATTTTGGAATTAGATTTTCAATTGGTTTTGTGAATTCTTAACTTTCAATCTCATTTGTGTATAATTAGTTGTTTTTGTTTTGAAATTGTTCACTGATTGCATATTGTTAATTTGATACATTATGTTTGTGTTAGCTCCAATTTCTTGCTTAAAGAAAACCACTTGGTTGGTTTTAAGTTTTTCGTACTTTTCGTTGTTTTGTTTGCATAAAAACATGTTTTACAAGTTTGGGGACTGATCTGAAATCATTTGGTGGATTTTTGTAATCCCAGTTGGAGAAGACTCTTTTTGCTCTAAAGTTTGTTAATTGATAGAGATTGCAAGTATAACATGGTGTTGTGTTGGATTTTGGTTGGTTTTTGTTAATTGATAGAGATTGCAAGTATAACATGGTGTTGTGTTGGATTTTGGTTGGTTTAGGTTGCAGAAGATGGGGGGGCTTTGGATATAAAAAAGGTGGTGACAGACACCAGGGGTGACTTCTCATCATTTGCAATTGGTTGCATGGGGTGTTTTCTATTTATACCAAAGTTAGAGAAAGAGTTAAACTTTGGTATGTATTTGAAAATCAGTTTTTTTTTAGTCTAATTCTGTGGTATATATCTTCTGCAAATTTAGAGAACTTTGTGATTATAAGCATTTTGCATCATTCAAGGGAGTCAGAATGATGATTCTTTGCACTACAACTTAGTCATGTTAGGCTTTTATTATCATTGAGCCAAAACGAATGGTGATATAGGTTTTGCAACTTATCATGTCAGACTAATAATTTTTCCATCAAATTCTCATATATATTTTTTTTGGTTTACGAACATTAATTGTTTGATCCATGGTATATTGTGTTCAATGATAACATGTTAACAGTAGTTTTAAACAACTTGATCTTACCCCATTTCGAAAGCAAATTAAAGAAATAATGATGGACATGCATGTTAAAAATATTATGAATTTAAAGAGGTGAAACCCAACTCACAAATGCTACCTGTTTAGTTTAACACAATTTTCCTCTGCTTGGTTGCTCATAAAATGTTGGGAAACAAGGGAACTCAATTTGAGTGCTATTGTTATGATGGATGCTTATTTTGACGAGCTTATTAAGTCTTGGATAATTTATGAATTTAAGATCTTTAATTTTAGTATTTAAAGAGTAATATGTGGTTTTTTTTTAGGGAAACTAATGAAAAGGGCTTAAAAACTTTGAGTTTTAATGATAAGGACAAAATAAAGAGTAAAGTGAATAGTACTAGGATTGACTTTTTAGTGTAAAAATGTGGTTTTTTGTTAAAGTGAACAGTACCGGGTGCTTTTCGTTAAAGTTCCTTTTTTTTTTGGTGCTGCGGTTAAAGAAGAGTGCAAGGAAATTGATCGTGGTATTTAAGTTTTAACAAAATTGGGTAAATGGTGGCAATTAATAGTACTTTGAAGATGGATTTTTGATTTTTTTAGTTTTGACTCTTTATTGTGCATTTTTTATTCAGTCTTTGGCAAGCCATCATACATGATAAACAAAAGTAATTGGGTTTTAGTAAATATTGATTTTGTAAAATTCGTTGTTTAAATTTCTAGGTTCTGATGAATTCTAATTTAGAGTCGGTGACAGCCAATCGACTCACCACCAACTTTAGATCAAGATTCAAGTATGCCTTAAATGTGAGTCATGTTTTTCATTCTATTTTGTTGATTTTGTCATCACAATTTCTTAGAAAGTTGGGATATTGGTTAATTTCTAGACTTGGATTATAACTTTTTATTTGTATTTCTGGAAAATTGCAGAAAGCTTGCATTAAGATTTAGCTCTTCGATCCAAAGGACCTTAGGATTGAAGGCTGAATTATTGTAAGTTTGTCTTCCATCACAGGTTTACCCATATTCTTCTGTCCAATCATTTCTTGACACTATATTAGTAATCCCAATTATTATAGGGATTAACAGATTAAGATCTATTTAGATTCTATATATACATTTTATAGAGTGAATTAAGTTAGGTATTCTGGAACTTAGGTATTGTATATATATCAAACACAAGCTTTCATATGTTTCCAATATAATCTTCCATACAATTTTTAATCCCGCAGCAATGCGCAGGCATCGATTTCTAATTTTTCCTAATTTCACAACGGTGATGTTTTTCTAACTTGTCTTCTATCAAGTCCTATAAAATTTATATTTTAAGAAAATTGATAACCACGCACTTTGTTTTTGCTTCCCTACACAACTTTGTTGTTTAATCATGTCTCTTGTCTTTGTTTCATTTGTCAAATCCAATAGCTAAAATACAGAAGAGTGTCGGAGAAACGGAAAAATAGTGCGTGGCTGTCATTTCTGAAAATTAGAGAGAAACATGTAACAGATTCAGAGAGCAATTCATATTTGACAATATAGAAGAAGGCTTCAATAATAATTACAACAAACACTAGGGAGACCATAACAAAATTCCACACTGAAAGTTAAGCATAAAAGGCCTGCTTGCCTAGCACAAGAGAGCTCAAACTATTAACAAAAATGGCAGAAGTGAAGCTCTTCAGGATATGGTCAAGCCCTTTTTTCTTTGAGAATAGTTTGGGCGCTGCAACTCAAAGGCGTCCCTTATGAAACAATCCACGAAGATATTTCGAACAAAAGCCCTAAGCCCTTACTTCTTCAGTCTAACCCTATTCGTAAAAAAGTTCCAGTGCTCCTGCACAATGGAAACGCAGTTGTTGAATCACTCATAATTCTTGAATATGTCGACGAAACTTGGAAGGAGAATTCCTTACTGCCAGAATATCCTCTTGAGTGAGCCACTGCACGCTTTTGGGCTGGATATGGCGATGAGAAGGTAATCTAAACTAGCCTTTCATAATCAGATAGTTTCTTGCACAATAAGTAAAAGTATCGACTGAAAGTACATCAGATAACTAAACTGAACCATCATTACTTACCTGAAAAATAAGGAAAGAAAACTGCAATCTTAGTAAGAAGATGTGCTGTCTGATCAGTTCGCAAATTTCTGCAGTAAACTGCAGGATATTTGGCTACATTTTTTCATTTAGTGGTGTATTATGCGTATGACATTACTCTACTTGCTCATGCTTGAAGCAAATTAAAAGAAAATTGTAGTTAATAGCATAATCTAGTTTCGATATGTGATTATTCGGTTTGGTTTGTGATTCTATGAAGGTTTTGCCATCTATTGGGAAAACCTTTATGAAGGGAAAGAGCAAGAGGAAGCTATTGTAAAAGCCAAGGAGAACTTGAAGTACTTGGAAGAAGAGCTAAAGGGAAAGAAATTCTTTGGCGGAGAGAAACTTGGATTTGCGGATATTGCACTTGGATGGCTCGCACACTAAGTGAGTGTGTTTGAAGACGTAGCAGAAATGAAAATGGTGACCGAAGAAGAGTTTCCATTGTTATCAGCATGGGCGACAACTTTTGCAGATGTTCCTATAATCAAAGATAATTGCCCGTCTAGAGACAAACTTATTGCCATGTTTCAGGCTAGCCGCGAAAGTCATCTTTCAAAAATGTACCAAGTTGATTAAATGATCTGGTTTGTGATCATTTCATGAATTGGTTAAATAAGTCCTGTCAAAGTTAAGAATTACACAGAGATGATCATGGATTTTGGAAAAATAAGTAATGTCTGGTTAAAATATAACTGAAAGTGTTTGTTTTTGTTTTTACGTAGCTACACTTCAAAGTTGAAGCAAGTTCATTCTTTCTTAGTTTGTGCTCAGTTATGGCCAGATTTCTGTTTCTTCCTTCAATGCACGTTAACGAAAAATGCAGAGACATTATTGTTTGTTGAGATTAATTTCTTTAAAATAAGTGTAACTATAATACATACATTATCTGCAATTGTAATGTATACGCTATCTTCGTTACCATATGCGTTGAGAAATACTAAGGGACACAGTAAACTATATGCTTAATAATCTTTAGCGGAACACAGTAACAAAGTCGTTTTTCTCAGACAGTTAGTAGGCAAACCTGGAATACGAGCCGTCAAAGATGCTTGCTTGCTTACTTCCCAACCTCTAAAACTCAAATCTGCATTCCATTTGACGCCAAAATGGTGAGCAAACAAAGAACAAACAAAGAAAAGAAGCTTCTGAATCCAATTCAATTTCATGGAAAAAGATCTCAATCTGCATTCCATTTGACGCCAAAATGGTGAGAAAACAAAGAACAAAAAAAGAAAAGAAGCTTCTGAATCCAATTCAATTTCACGGAAAAAATTTCACGGAAAAAGTGCAAAAAAAATTTGGACCATTTCTCGATTTATGCGTGTCATCCTTGCGCAGGGGCCATGCTAATCTTCTCTGTATCGTTCCAATTTTATCGGATGTCCCCGAAGGGACAAGCCTTGTTGCCTAGCTTCTCCATATAAAGAAGTGATAAACAGCATTCACCGCCGATGTGGGACAAGCGCATCCCTCTTTTCAGCAGTTAAGTTGCTTGTTTCTTCAGATCGGGTCCGTTGGACCTCTCTTTGTGGATCAAGGGGCTATGGATGGATGTTGGAATGACTGTTTTAGCACCCATCATGATTAACCTTTCAACCATGAAAACTGGTGGTTGGAGGGATCCAGCAATTTGAATCTGCACACAAATCCGAAACCAAATTGAACCGAAATTAAATCGAACAAAAGAAGTAGAAAGAAAATTGAACCAAACATTAATTTAAATCTGACTTATAATTTTGACAAAAAACAAACTGATTGAGCCAAGGCACAAGTGTTATCCCTCAAGATTAATGTGTTGCTACGTCTAAAGCTGAAAGTCAAACATCTATATGTCACTTTGACTTGTTCAGTCAACTGTCTAGTTCTTCTATAACTAACAAATCCTCACCATTCTTCTTCTACTATACATTGTGATGGCGGATGGCGGTGAGATTTTTGTGGTTTCAGGAGCTGGGCGTGGCCATCTCCAACCCTGCGCGGAGCTCTGCAACCACCTTATCTCCCGAAATTACCATACTACCCTCGTCATTCCCTCCTCCTCCTCCTCCTCTTTCACCCAAAACCCCCTCGCCAAAATCCTCCAACTCAAAGCCTCCCCGGGCCCACCCAATCCAGGACCCGACCCGCTCCGCTACCAAGCGACACAAGACCTCCACGACCACCTCGCCAGCCTTTCCGATATTCCCGACGCGCCCCTCCCTCTCTGCGCCATCGTCGACTTTCAAATGGGTTGGACCAAGGAGGTCTTCTGGAGATTCCAAGTGTCGGTCATCGGATTCTTCACCTTTGGCGCGTCCGCCGCCTCCATGGAGTGGGGCGCTTGGAAAGTCGGCGTCGGTGATATCCGACCCGACGAGCTCCGACCAATTCCCGGCCTGCCCGACCACATGGCTCTCTCGGTTGCCGATCTTAAACGAAGGCCAGCCGGTCCTCCACGTGGCGTCCCGAACCGGCCTCCGGGCGGTGGAGGAGGAGGAAAAGGAAGAAGTGATGGTGGTGGTCCGCCTAAACCGGGAGACCGACCTCCCTGGGTCCCAGAAATAGAAGGCTCCATGGCTCTGATGTTCAACACGTGTGACTTCATCGACCGTGCGTTCATCGACTACATGAAAGATCAGATGGGGATGCCCGTATGGGGTGTGGGCCCACTATTGCCGGAAACGTACTGGAACCGGAACCGGAACCGGAACCGGAACCGTCCGGTCGAAGAAAACCAGCGCCAATCGAACTACACTGAAGACGACGTCGTTCAGTGGCTGGACTCAAAGCCACGCGGGTCCGTCTTGTACGTGGCCTTCGGCAGCGAAGTGGGTCCCAATGCGGAGGAGTATCCCCAACTGGCGAGTGCGCTGGAAGAGTCGACCCGGCCATTCATCTGGGTCATCCAAACGGGGGTGGGTGGCGGGTACAACCAGGACGGGCTGGAGAGCAGAGTGGGGGAGAGGGGTTTGATCATATGCGGATGGGCACCGCAGCTGCTGATACTGAGCCACCAGTCAACAGGCGGGTTCTTGTCGCACTGCGGGTGGAACTCCACCGTGGAAGCCGTCTGCCGTGGGGTCCCCATTTTGGGGTGGCCCATTCGGGGGGACCAGTATTGCAATGCCAAGCTGGTGCAAAAGCATCTCAAGGTAGGTTATGGAGTTTGTGAAAGTTTTGAAGAATTGGTTAAGAAAGAAGATATATTGAAAGGGATTGAGAGGCTGATGGGCGATGAAGATATGAAGAGGCGGGCCTTGGAGACAGGGCGGAAGTTTGAGGGCGGGTTTCCGGCCAGCTCCGCGGCTGCATTGGATGATTTTGTGGATTTCATTAGGCCAAAAACCAGCTCACAAGTTTAGAATTGATAGGTTTAATGTCAAGTGTGTAGTGTTTTAATTTGATGCTCTGTGGCTGCATTGCCTTAGCCTTTTTTGGGCGAAGCAAGACATCATGCATTATGCATATATATAGTTTGTGAAACCTCAAAAAATATGATGAGCTCCGTTCATTTGTAAGAGTGAAAATTTCTTGCGTACAACGGGTGTGAAAATTTCTCCGGCAATAAGACAGGCATATATCATGTCGTTCCGATCAAGTGACTAGTTAATAGTTAGAGTAACGTTTTATATACAATCGTTGTGTACAAGAATTGCTCCGAGAAAGTGGCACAAGATGAAGGAAAGCAATAAAAAAGCAAGTTCATGATGTTTTAATAGATAAACTTGGTCTGTATCTGATTCTGCGGGTATTGTATTTGTATTAAAACAAGAGTGTATTCATTTTTGGTTAATGGAAAATTGTATCCCAATGAATCCTCTGTTTTCTCTCTTTGGTGTCTGTGTTTCTTTTATGATCCTCTCAAATATTTCGGCTTGTTTAATCAGATGGTTAGATTAAAGTTGCAATTATATATCGTATTGCCACTCAGCACTATGGTTTAATGGTATTCCTCTTCACTTGTAAGTAAGAGGTCTTAGGTTCGAATTTTGTGGATAGCGAATTCGATACCAAATTAGGCTGTCTATTGTGTGGCTTAGCCGAACTCCCCATTCCCTTAGTGTAAAAATATCAATGTACTAAAAAAAAAAAACTTAATAGATTAATTGCATTTATTGTTCTTGTTGGTTGTAGTTGTTGATTGAATGTTGGTTTCTTCAGAATAGGAATGTTAAGGGTGTAGCATGGTTGAGAGGCAGGTAAATGTTCTAGCATTGAATTCATTTCGTTATTGCTACTGTTATTTGAAAGAAGTTGGAATTGTTGTGTGGAAGCACACCCACAAGTCCCACACGTACGAGGTCAGTATTGACGATAGTCCTCCCACTTTAGCCATCGGGAGAAACGGGTATGAGATTTTACTAAATGACCTTGGCAATATGTGTGTGGTACCATTACTTATAAAAGCAATACATAGCTCTTCCTCTAGCGAATGTGGAACTCAAATGTGACTCTAATCTAAGCCACCAAACCCCAACAGGAACTTCTCCCCGTTAACTCTAGCCATATTTCATTCAACAATAGCGCAATATATTCCACGCAATATTTTAAAAAGCAAACGTGAACTCCCCCAATCCAAAACCTAATTAGATCAACTATATACGGACCATTATGTATACTAATACCATAAAAAGAGGTAGGTAAATTAATTTTGTTAAAAATTCAAAAAGCAGATACTTTAACTTTGTAAAAATTCAAAGATAGGTACATTATTTTCATATAAAATAAACAGTAGGTAAGTTATTTTCATAGTAGGTAAATTATATTCATATAAGAGTAAATTGTAGCAATGGTCCCTGAACTTTACTCAAATTGGAGCAATGGTCCATCAACTAAAAAATCATTACCATTGGCCCCTCAACTTATCAAAATGTGTAGCTATAGTCATTTTCATTAATTTCTTCAAAATTTTGTCAAAATATGTTATGTTGGAATAACCATTTATTTAATTAGGGTCCCTCAACTCATCAAAGTGTGTAATTATGGTCATTTTCGTCAACTACGTAAAAATTTTTGTCAAAACGAGTTATGTTTGAAGGACCATAGCTACAATTGAGATAAAGTTAAGGGACCATTTCTCCAGTTGAATTAAAATTGAGGGACCAAATGTAATAGATTTTTAGTTGAGGGATCATAGCTGCATGTTTTAATGAGTTGAAGGACCAATGGTAATGGATTTTTAGTTGAAGGACCATTGCTCCAATTTGAGTAAAGTTCAGGGACCATAGCTACAATTTACTCTTCATATAATTATACAGTAGGTAAATTACTTTTATAAGATTAAACAATAGATATTGTTGAAATTAAACACTAAATTAGGTATATTCAAATTGAAATATATTGTTGAAATTTAAAATATTTCCAAATCAATTCCTATATCTAGAACCAGATTTTATGGCTACAATACCTTGCCAAATTCAATGCACGTGATCAATTAAAACGTAATTACAATACCTTTCCATACTGGCTTAGATGAGGGTATATTTAGGAATCCAAAAAATATAAAACTTGTAAGTTTATGAGTATGAGTTATGGAAGGTATCAGTTCTTGTGTTTAAGATTGATATGGAAAAGTCTTGGTCAAAAGCCTTAAGTTATTTGGTTTCCTTGTGGAATAAGTTTTGTGAGATTCTGAATAATCCTTGTGGGATTAGAACTCGGTAATAGAACATGTTTGGGATTGATATGTTGTATCAATTGTGATGTTTGAATCCTAAGTCTATTCTGATAGGAATGACAATAGGAGTGCTATAAAAGCTTATGCCACTGCTCTTGCAATATACGGTTATACAGAGTTTCAAGTCCTATTGTCTGGAAGAACCATTGAGATTTGTAAAAGAGGAGAAGGCACTAAGCTGTGAAGTCGCAATGGCTTCTTCATCTGGTTCCAATTCTGCAGGTAAGTTCTCGAGCTTTTCTCGTGTTTTTGTTCATCTATTGGTTTAGTGGAGTTGTGATTTAATTGGTTGTATCCATGTTCTTTAGATTGATGAACTGTTAGAGTTTATTCTTGCATGTGGTATCAGAGCCTAGAATTCTAACCATTAAGTTCAATTCTTCATGAAAATCATTGAATCTGGGAACGAGTTGCACTGTCTGGGTTTTCGAACTAAGCCTTAGGACTCTTAAGAAATATATGAACTCAAAACGATGTCGTTTTTTTTTTTTTTTGTATAATACTTTAAAAAATATATATTCACCGATTGCAAAATCTGGGTTTACGCTTTTGATGGTGTTCTTCGAAGTCTGGGTTTTCATCACTCATTCAAATCTTAATTTTGAGTCAATATTGATGCCATGATTCATACGATTCATCAAAGGGTATGAATTATGATCTAATTCACACCTGAGGTTTCAATTTTTAAATTTGTTTTGCATACTGTCATGCTAAAAGGAAAACTTGAAATTGTTATGTTTTTTTCTGATTAACTTGGATGCCGATGCAGTTTTGAGTTGAATGGTTGCATAGATTGTTACAAATTGCTTCCGCTGGTATAACTAATGAGAAATCAACCAAATAAATTTTGTCTTATTGTTTTATGTTGTACAATCGGTGCTAACCAATTCTGCATAAGTATGACAAATAGTATTGCAGTTAGAACAATTAATGTTGTTTGTGGATATCATTGCAATTGTTTACTCTATGTATATCCTTAAATTCAAGGATATGTATATAACTAAATTGATTCAATGAGCTAAAATTTTAGTGGTGAAAAAGATGGAAACCAGGGATCTTTAAAAGGGTTCATAGTTTTGATTTCATTAATCAATTCTGCGGAACCATTGAACAAAGATCATGTTACCTGCATATTGAGATTATATTATCATTATGGCCCTTCATATTGACGTTAACTCGTTCATTGTTCTATTATTTCTCTTGTTTTATTGAAATCTGATGAGAATTGTCTTTTTCCGGGAATTGGTGCCAACGAGATTCTGGCTGATAACTTTGGTGATGATTTTGGATCGGCGTGTCTATAATAATGGCAATTCACTTCGATAATCTGCAATGGTACGAGGTCCATGGGAATTTGGAGTGATGGCAATCCACATGGTTGGGTCTCGAGCATTGATGGATAATTTGTTTCATTTATTTGGAGCCGAGGAATTGCAATCGGGTTGACGAATATGGATCCAATGATGCATTCAGGTCAAGCTATGAATTTTGAGAATTAGCTTGTGTCATCCATATACAAGGATGATAAACAAATTAGCTTATGTGAGACGTTGTCTATATTTTTGTACAACACAAATTGACATTGCCGAATGCATATTGATTTAACTTATGAATTCATAAGGAAGCCTGTGCTTATTGTATTGTGAAAATCATGGAGTTTAAGATGCATGCTTATTGTATATGTATATTTGTGATTTCATTTATGATGCATGTTTCCGCTGTTATGTTTTGGTTGAAATCACAAATAGGGAGGAAGAAATAGTGGTCTTGATTATCTCGTTTTAATCAAGACATATTGTTGTGATATATATCTAGGCATTATCAAATTTGGTTGATTTTGCTCGATGGATATTGAACTAGTTAGGATCAAATTGAATACAAAATATTGTGTTTGCTATTCTGATTTTGATCATTATTGAAACTGGTGATTTGGGTTTATGTGAGATAAGTTTTTCCAAATGGATTGTGACTATCTTTTGATACAATAGACTGTTTGGCATAATGGTTTAGGTATTTATGACTAAACTGAGATTATGCAATTGGGAGGAATCTCGGGAACTAATTGGTTCATATCTCCGGTTTCTTTATCGGTTTGCAGTACATTCTACTTATGCTTAAGTGGGAGAATCATATGTTCGAATGTAAGCATAAGGCTAAGAGTATTTTAGGCCGACCATAATAATTCATTTGGATGCTTAAAAACCAGTTTATGGTTTTATTTTATTGAAGCAATTGGTTGAATTATTTGTGTTACTTAATTTTTAAGTTAATGAGAAGGATCCTATGATGTTTAGCATTCAAAAGGAAACAAATTTGGTTTCCATATGGATTCTGATTAGTCATTCATGTATGGAATGATTTTTTATAATATAGTTGCTATTAACTTGTACTTAACTTGGTTGTGTTAAGTATGGCCTTAGATAAGTGGGAGTGTACTATTTAAGGGCTTGAAGATAGTGCTTTTGTTCAGTTAGAACATGGCAACGATGAGCTTGAGATTCCCAAAACTAAAGTAGTCTAGTTGGCTTAGTTATGCTTATCTAGTTTGGTAGTTTATTTGGTGTTCAATTTTTCCAATTATGTGATTAATTGTTCCAGAAGACAAGTTTATCTAAATAATAGTTGAGATTGCTAAGAAGATCATTTTGGATTTTGCGGTGGAAGCATTCTTTTAAACTGTTATATACTATTGAGTTTGATAAATGTGTTCTGATAATTAGTATTCTGTTATGAAGTTGGCTAATATCAGTGGGAATAATGTTTTGGTATTACTCTAAAATTGTTTCACATGAATGTATTAGATCAGATATGCTGTGATTGTTGGATCGATTCTGTGTTGTACAGATTAGATTCTTGAATTCCATATTTTGAAATGTATTTGGGTGTGTGATTGTGAGCTTGTTGATTTTGGACTTGGTGATCATTTCTATAAATCTTAAAAGACTGGTTTTGCATGTTCATACTCAAGTGGGAGAATGTAAGTTTATGAGTATGAGTTATGGAAGGTATCAGTTCTTGTGTTTAAGATTGATATGGAAAAGTCTTGG